AACAAAATATCTGTTTTAGAGATAATCAGTAAACAGGAAATTGATTTTAGCGGCCAAACGGTTCGCAACTTATTTTTGATTCAATTATAATCTCAAGAATAAGAGAGCATTGCTTTTAAATCGTCTCCCAATACGAGACCAAATGTAATGCTATTAACATTTTATTAGAGATTTATTTCAACAAAAGTTCATTCAATTCACTAAATCTTAAGTTTAATGCAAATAATATTAACTCAAATCAAATCCAAAGATGTTTTTATAGAAAAATAAATAAAATACATTATATTTTGTCAAAACATATAAAATAATAATTTTTGAACCCAGAATTCTCATATATTATTTAAACTTATTATAAAATTAATTACAAATATTCTAGTACTAAATACAATTCAAATGCATGTTGTTCTCAAGTGTAGCAGATAAACAATTGAATTTAAATAAAATTGAGAAAATTTCAGTAAAAATCAAATAAAATACAAAAAATATGTTCATGAACAGAATACAAACAACAGATTGAATACTAAAACAAAATGCATTCAAATCGATAGAAAACTTGAAAAAAGTATACTTGTATTAAAATAATGTATTGTATTTATAATGTATAGCTGTTATTTGACTATATTGTACTGAATAAATACGGTGTAAAGTAAATAGATTTCAATTTTAGACAACTACTACTTCCATGGATAGACTTCTAGAAAATTAACTTTTGCTACAAAATAAACAAAATATAATTTAAGAGAAAACAAAAATATAATTTAGAAAACTTCCAACGATTAGTGTATAAACATACTTGACATCTAATTAACGGAAATAGTGAACCAAAAATGATATGTAAAACAAAAACATAATTTCCTATTTAAGTAACACTTTTTTAACAGTACTTCTCAATGATAAGCAAATATAAGTAAATTTACAAATAAACGCAAAGCAATGTTTGAACGCTATATTGCATTATATTTGAAATGAAAAATGAATTCAACAAATTTTTAAAGCAATTTCTGTTAAAAATGAAAGAAAATTTTGTTGTAAAAATTATTTAATATCACGTTTTGTGAACAAATTGGAGACTAGATTCACACACAAAAACTATTGATTTTAAATCTATTTCAGCACAAATTTAACACAAAAAATATAATTCTATAATAATTGCATGAATTTGTCTAAAATTCTGTTTTTTATATAAAACATTTTATATATGGTTTTTAAAAACATTTTTTACCGAAAATTCTTTTGCATAATATGTTTATAATATGAAACAGACATTTTTCAAATACTTGTACTTTATTTAAAGCGATGTATTGTATGATAGATACGATTCTCTAAATATAGAGGCAGTAATTCATTGGTCATAAAAATCTGATTTTGAGATATTTTCAAATCAAATGCTGAAAGGATTTCACAAAATACAATAAAATTTTGCTCAAATTCTCATTATTTTATTATAAATCAAAACAATTTGAATTGAATGAATGAAATGAAATGAATGAAAACGAAATTCAATGAAAACAATATAACGAAAGCATAGAATAAACGAAACGTTAAAATAATAGGGAATTGAATTGAATTTAAGGCAAAAAACAGATGAAATGAATGAATGGATTCACTGATTGAATGAATTGAAAGATTGAATCAAATTATAAGCAAATTGTATAATAATATTATGGATGAGCATTGGTATAGAGTTACGGATAAAAAGTGTTTTCAAAAGTAGTTTTGGAGATAATAAGAAAAAGTGACAAAAAATAAAAATAAAATACATCGAGACCTGAATTATGCGGTTTATAATGGCTTTCAAATGTGGAGTCAAACAGCAAATGTTGGGACAATAAATACATTGTGACATTAAAATGAATTTTTTGGTAATACTTTTAATGGACAACAAATAAACGATTATTATATTCAACACAAGACGACAGTATTATTGATATTAACATAAATTCAAAGCGACTTCAAAAAGATATAAAAAACATAAAAACAAATGAAATTATATTAGCAGTAAATTCCAGTTAATGTCACCAAAACTCAGGCTTAATATATAAGTACTTTATAAAACAATTTTTAAATTTACAAGATTATACAGTAGTTACTAGTATGTCTAAAACAAGTGACAATACTCTTAAGAAAATGACACAAAAATAGCTTAAAAACTCATTTAAAAAGTAAGAATTTATTTGAAAGTCACTTAACAAAAGTGAAATATGTGTTAATGAAATGAAATATCATTTTATAAAAAGATATGAAAAAACGTTGTCTTAATCTGAAAACAATATGTCATTGAATTTTGCAATTATTCAATAAATAGACACAAAATTTGCACAAAATTCAGAGACAATGATATCAGTGGTGGAAAACTTATAGCTTTTTTATTACATTAATTGCAAATATATATTAATAACCTTTTTATTTAAATATAATTACTGTAAATAACAATTGCATTCAATTCAAGCATTTTTCGGGTCAAGGATTACATAAATATTTTATTAATTACACGAAACGTTACTTTTTTCGCTCATTTATCGATTTTTTAGTCAAACATTGCATTTGTATCTAATTTGAGGTCTATTTGGCAGATAATTATTTCTATTATTATTAACGGGTAATAAAAAGGTAAAATAAATTAACATAAAAGGTTTGATTTGAAGTTATTTTCAGTGAATTCATTGCATTTGTAAGAGTTGTCACTCTATGTGTGAAATATAGCCAATAATCCCATTGCGGGCTATATTTGTGACATTAATTCAAAATCCATTCAAACATGTCTTATGTATTACGCGAAAGTGATTTATACTTATCATAAGACTATGCAATTGATTGCCAAATATTTATGGCATTATTGGTCACTGTCTGGACATTTGCGTCAATAGTGTCATCAGTGGACACATTCATGATATATGTATCCAATCCACCCATACTTGCCGTTCATATGAAGCCCAATACAGGCACTCATAGGCAGACACTGACAGCAATTAGTTAATTAACTTTTTTAAGTAAATATATTCACATAATAATTATGTGAATGAAAACACGAGTGAATCGATAAATAGACACAAAAAACAACATATTTTCGCCAAATATTTCACAATCGGTTGAAAATATGAAACGAAAAACTAATGCATATAATAATTGATATAACAATATCTCAATTCATGATCAAATGGCAATAAAATGAGTAAAAAAAGTGATTAAACAATAAAATGAATGGTTTGCATGAATTGAATGAATAGACAAACCAAACACAAACACAAATAACTATTGAATAGTGCGATAAATATAATACACATTCATTTCTATTGAATAGTTTTGAACTGAAAAATTATTATTATTATTATCGGCGAAAATTGATTTGTTATATAAAAACTTTTCAATTGATTTGATAAGACATTATCTAATGTATAGTTTGAGTAAAAATGAATGAAACGCTAAAATAATTGTATAGCAATAATAATAGTCATAATAAGTATTGATAAATGAATAACAAAATTGAGTCAATGCTTACCACTAGTTATATGAGTTTAGAAAAATGTATTCAATGCTGAGTTTTGTTTCAATGATAATGGCAAATATATTTACGAAATGTACAATTAAAAAGTGTGATAATTGTGAATTTACAATTAAACTAGGAGTTTTCAATCAATTATATAACATAATTATGAGTTGTGGTAAAAATGCAGATTAACTACAATTACAGTGTAATGAATAGAAAAGGCGAGCGATTGTTGTACTCAAGTGAATGGTGTTTATTGTTGTTGTTGTCTGAGTCCGAGTGTGATATGAATAACATGTATTGCATTGGGATGTGTGGGTATGTCTGCTGTGGCACAACCTGTTCGCCAATACCTTAATAATGGCGATCATTACCATTCGCACAGCACTTGAGCATTTTACTACCAGTGCACTGCACACAGACACTGCATTCCCATTGCAAACCATTGTTTTTGGCGAGGATTCCCATCTTTTACTGTCATCTGTCGATCACATTCCGTGTGATGTCTCCATGAGATGCATGAAAATTGCATAACTATTGCATACCAGCGCACACACTATCATGGCATTTAGCGCACCTACCTATTATTCATATAATCCTCTCCCCCTTTCAAACACTTACACCGGTATTTAACTCGCAATACAATATGCAACATAAATATAAAAGTTTTATTATTTGCAATTTACAACTTTTGTAAATTAATTAATTTAATAAAAAATAAAGTTTTGTTTTAAGAATTCAGTGTTAGATTCAACAGAAATAGAGTCTATGGAGTAACCGAATGGTAGGGATGGGCACTCTATACTTGGACTTCAGCTCAATAACCAGTTCCGCAAACGAGAGTTTATCTGCAAAAAAAGATTTTAATGAAAATTCATACAATTTTATGAATACATAATTAGAATAATTAGTAATTAAAACAAAAAAATGTATGAAAATAATGACCAGTTATTGAGGCAAACGCTCCAAAGGGCGGCATATCATAGAAGACAATGGCCTCGATTAGTGTCAAACTGATTTCAGATAATCTCAGAGTCCCTCTCAAGTAATTCAATAGCAAACTCCTATCGATTGAATCTGTAATATGAATGTTAAAAGTGTTTCAATAAGTAATCGTTAATTGATTGTTTAATTGATAGTACTTTTGACTCGTTTTTCAATTAGAGATCGAATGGAATCAATGAAATCAGATCTCAATGAAAGGCAGCGTTGGGCGCAAGTGTTGGCGAACTTGATTTGCCACAGACTCAGGCTATGGCTATGTTTGGCCACTTTGGTTAGGCTTATGAGCGGCGATAGAAACTCGAGCCTCTCGTTGGAGGCGCAGTCGAACAGCAGTGAACACAATTGGTTCTGGATCTCCGATTCGGACTCCATTTCCGATGGATTTGAGAGCAAGTACTTGGAGAAAGTCATCACAATTCTGTCATTTGAGAACTCAGTGGTCGTATTAACCTTCAGTTGAATACATATTTTAAACTCAATAAAAAGTTCAATAAAAAGCGTCAACTATTCGACACTTACCCTATGAGCCCAACCTTTGACCGCATCCTTCATAACGCTCTGCGAGTAAAGACTTTTGAATCCCTTCGGGTCCTCACTGTATGGCAAACAACCAGTCTTTTGCTTCACATACAGAACACCATCTCGTTGTAGGAAACGCCTGCCATCGGAGTCAGCGTCGAGACAAATGTTATTATTATTTATACGGTATAAGAGTTTATAGGAAATCTTACTTAAGATTCGACCAATTCTTGTCTTTTTCGAAGGATATCCTCCAATACCTCTCGTCGTCGACCACTACTTCTTCGAGGAGATGGAGTTCCGCCAGAAAACACGGAGCCCTGAGTTTCATGATTTCACAGCAAGAGTTCTGGTTTAAGACAACGCAATGAAGGTTCACATAAACGGCTTTCCCGGTGTCGATATCGCGAGGTATTACGAGTCGCGGTTCAGTCGCCAATACATACAAATGTCTGAACGCTTGCAAGTGATAGCGATTGTCATTACTATGAATCGGGAATTTAGGGAAAAAGGCTATTATGAGGGCCGCCACCGATTCGGGCGATGAACACAGCGTAGACCGACAACCGGCCAAAAACAACAGCCCTAAAGCCATATGTATTGCCATATGAGAGCCGTAGAGGACATACGCCTGATTGAGACGCGACCGCAGGTAGCGACAGACGCGCAGTACTTCTAAATCACCCGTTCCGGCCATTATAATGGCCAGGGATACCACCAGTACGTTGAGACACGACTCAATAGTGCTGCGTCCGGCCTGTTCGGCCAAATGGCTTTTGGTGGACAAGGATATGAATTTCTGCATATAATTCATGACTGTTTTGAATGCTTTCCGATTGGCGGAACCGGCGTATCTGAGCGCCAGTGCGAAACAGGCACCGCTCACTATATTACAATAGGCCTGACTCATAGTCTCGTAGTCTAATCGATCGCTCATCTCATTAGGACTTCTTTGAAATGCATTGTCCGACACAATAGACGGCATATGCGATTCCACCCATTCCTTCGAGGGTTCAATCGATGACCACAATATCAAACCCTTACATAAGGTTCTCAATAATATGAAGTCCGGTCTAACCATTTCCAGCAGGTGTTGAGTGTCTGGAACAGTGAACCATTGGGCGACCGCCTCGTTATTGGTGTCGAAGAACATCATCCCGAGTGCGAGAGTGGCACCGGGACTCGTCACGTCTGCGTTAATACAATCGCCTTCTCTTATCTGATAGCTCGGAGTCTTGTATTTCTCCCTTTGAAGGGCAGTCAACGGTCTTTTGTGGCCGCCCAGCATATAGTGACACAACTGGTCGGCCATTGACATGCCTTCAGCCGATGAGACCAAACCAATCATATTATTTCCTTTGCCGAGAGTCACGAGACCAAAGGCTAGACCAGCGGCCAATGCATACGACTCTCTGTCGATGTAGTGCTCCATTTCAGGACCGGGCGGTCGTCCGATCTCTCCGAGCATTACTTCTGCGATGTGGTGCTGACCACTGCTCTGATACAGAAGTCCTATTCCGAGCACAGCGGCCACCTGTACAATGGGCGGCACATCCAGTTCAGTGCTGGTGGGCGGCAGAAGTGCCTCCACGTGAATGCTCAGCACTTTAACGGCCGACACATCCATTGTGCCCCTCTTGGCGGCCGCTAAGCCCAGGAGTACCGCCACTCGAGTCAATTCGTTGCCTTTGCAGAGGTAGTCGTGAATACTCATCGTCGAGAGACAGGCCAAGTGGCCGTTGAGTCCGAGGGCCAGGAGGAAGCCGGCGTGTTCGTGCTGGGCGTCACTACTCAGCACTGTGTTGGTCAGCGCCGAACTGCTCTTCGGCCGGTTGTACACAATCCAAGACGAGTCGATAATTCCCGACGCGTTCGACGAGATTCGGAGTCCGGCGGCGACGCCGTTGTGAAAGAGGGGCCAAGTGTTCATATTCTGCGGCACTTCGATGTGAGACAAGTCTATTGTGTTATTTCTCGGCGGAACTCTTCCCACTAAATTGAGTTTAGGTATGGGAAAGGTTTCCGCAACGACTGGCGTGTATGACCGCAACGACAACATCCCGCGACCCAAAGGCAAAGCCATCGTTCGGATGCATATCGTATACAAATGGCGCTCTTGTTCTTCGATGAAGTCGTGGTCTGAAACGCCGGGTTTTTGTTGAATCGTTATTTTGACCGGTTTTGATGACATCAGCATATGATAGGCTTCCAGTATTCGCTGGTCGTCTGGGAACAGGAGTTTGAGGACATCGTAATCAAGGTATGAGATGCCGTCGTCGTCCGGTTCAGACGAGTCTGTCTTGAGTTTAGTCACCGAATAGCTGATTGGCTTCTTGTATGGCGGCTGAAGCACTAACAGATCCGGTCGACCAATAAGTTTAAAACACGAACGGTTCCAATCATTTGAAGGATTATTACGGCAATAGAATATAGAATCCCATAAAGGGATGGCCAGACCGGGCGGGAACTGCTTTAGATTCTCCTCTTTAATGCCTAATAAGTCCATAAGAACTATAGTTTTTGCGAAAACATTATTCGACTCAATATTAGTCCAATTGATCACTGAATCCACTTTTGAGCCATTAATTGGCAAAAGAACTTTCGATTCATTAATAAATTCAATTTCCCTTAGATTCGCAAAAAGTAATATAAAATTGAATATATTTTTTGTGGTGTTTGCAATGTAGGGAAATAATTGATAGTTAATTGGATTTGATTCCAATAGAGAGTTAATCGTTTTGTTCACCGATGGACACAATTCTGTGAAGTATTGAGGAATATTTTTACCAATCATTTTCATATCTTCGTCACTGATCCGCGATTCGGAACTAATTGAATGACATTTATCGGGAAAGTCTAGGATATAATGCATTTGATATGCACTAAGTTTAAGGTCTACTGCAAACAGGTATAGAATGTCGACAATCATTGGACATAAATCCCAATTGATTTCCAGAAGTTTAAAGTCTTCGTAAAGCAAATGTAATGAATAGAGTATTGAAGGCATGTATGGAAAGAGTGTCGAAGGATTGATAGCAGTATTTTTCGACTCATTTATATCGCGATCATCACTGGCCTGAGAGCACAGCCACTGCCAGTCCTCATCACTTCCCTCTTCTCTGTTGAGTTTCATTTTCTTAATCACTTCTGGCGATTGACTCAAAGAATGTGAGCTATGATTCAGACGAAGGCTTTCAACGTCATAACCAATGAGTGACAGAAGACATGATTTAAATAAATTCATTTCGGAGGCAGTGGTCAACTCATCGGAGTTGGGGGCGTTCCTAAAGCCATACCATTTGGTCATTAATTGCATACTTGAATCCTTGGGCAACACATTCTTAAGAGCACTTAAACACTGAGACACTATATATGAAGAACTAAATGGCGGTAAAGCGAACCGATATAGCAATGAATCAACACTTTGGACAGTAATCCGGTCTTTGACGGCATCCCTTACTGCACTTATTTTGCCAATAATTGGGTAATGATTTAGAGACGACACGAAAGAACTGTTTTCGACATCAGATTCGGGAATAACCGGCGAAAGAATCTTAGATTCGGATAAAAAGGTTGGATTGAAAACACCGGTCGCACTGTTAGGTCGGCTCGAAGTGGCCAGAGATGAGCGCTTATATGATGGCGATTGATATGATAGGGATCTGTTGGAGAGCGTTGAAGAGGGCGACAGAAGCAGTGAATTAGTGAAAGCCGTGCAGAGAGTGGACGGCAAGTGAATAATACTAGTCTTATATAAACCGCTGAAAAGGACTAAATTGTTGTTCAAATCGACGGTTACTATCATATTGTGAGCAGCGATTGGTTCGGCGTCTTTAGCGCTGATTATATTCGTCGAGCAAAAGATGAGTTTCTTTCCGTCATTGCTGTGATCGAGTCGAATGAGTTTAAGGCTCTGCGAGTGACTCACCAGAAGACATATATACGACTGTCCCATCAGATCGGTTGAGATGAACACTTTGGATGCCTTTTCACTGATAGAGGACTGGGATTCACTCCAAATGTGTTCGAGTGCCAGCTCTGGTATTATGGGCTCCGATATGTCATCCGTTAGGAAATCAATATTTCTGTTCTTCCGCGGCGTTACTGACTGTGGACTCAAATGCGAACTCATATTATTATACGACTCTTTAATTCGACTAATTTGTGGATCAATTAAAGATGGCGTCTGAATGGGTGTTGTGCTGAATGGGCGCATAGATGGAGAAGCGGGAGACACTGCTATTCGACTAC